ACATTAGGTCAGAAAAAGGATAAACTTTAGAGAATGAGAGGTAGTTTACAGTTCATTTTTATATTTTATTTTGGTCTTTTTTCTCCAAAAATGTATAATTTATGTGATTTATCCTTTCCTACATTATTAAAACATTATAAAAAATATTTCCAGTGTAGTTTGATCGTTTTATAATGAGAAATCCAGAGGACAGCTGCCTATCCACTCAGATATTTTTGATGATTACATATGTCTAGTGTACACTTCTAACGAGGAAAAACAAACATCTTTATTTTACAAATGCCCAAAGTCAATGTCTCCAGTTATGAATCCATCTCAAGTTACTTAAAAAAATGTTCAACAGGTATGAACAATTTCCTATCTAATACATAGTTAAGATTTTATCCATGAGGTTTAATATTTGATGAAAACTAAATGATTACAGGAATTTTTTTTTTTTGGCCGACCATGACACTATATTACTTTCAAGTGTGTATTTGATGATGAGCTTTGGTTTTAGACTTTTACACATGCAAATCTACTTTCTAGGGGTCCTCTTCCATGAATTTTATAACGATTAGTAAGGGATGACCTGTAGTTGAAAAAATTTCCATATGTGTTACATTCATAGGACTTTTCTCCTGTATGAATTCTCTGATGTGCAATACGTGAGGAGCTCTGATTAAAAGTTTTCCCATATGTTTTACATTTAAAGGGTTTCTCTCCTATATGAATCCTTCGGTGTTGAATAAGAGCTGACAAATGGCCAAATGACATCCCACATTCCTCACACTGATAAGGTTTCTCTCCAGTATGAATGCTTTGATGATTACTAAGGGATGAGTTACACCTGAATGTTTTCCCACACACCTTACATTTATGTGGTTTCTCTCCAGTATGAATTTTATCATGAATAGTAAGGATTGAATGGGAATTTTAGGCTTTGCCACATTCATTACAATTATAAAATTTCTCTCCAGTTTGAATTATTCGATGTCTATTGGGTCATGAAATAGAAGTGAAGCCTCTTCCATGTTCATTACACCTGTAGGGCTTTTCTCCAGTGTGAATTCATTCATGTTGAATGAGTGAGGCACTCTGACTGAAGACTTTCCCACATTCACTACATTTGAAAGGCTTCTCTCCAGTATGAATTCTCTGATGATAACAAACAGATGAGCTGGACTTAAAGGTGTTACCACACTCATTACATAAATAAGAATTTTTTCTGGAATAAATTCTTTGACCAGGAAGGGCTGTGTTGCAACTAGATGCCTTCCTATCTGGATTATATTTACAAGGGTTTTCTCCGGTATGGATTTTCTGATGTATGAAAAGGCTCGACCTTCCGCTGAAGGCTTTACCACATTCCTTACACCTATAGGATTTTTCTACAGTGTGGATTCTTAAATGTTTATAAAGGGATGTACTGAGAGTGAAGGCTTTCCCACACTCTTTACATACGTAGGGCTTCTCTCCAGTATGAATTATTTGATATTGAATAAGAGCTGAACTTTGGCTAAAGGCTTTTAAACATTCCTTACATTTAAATAATTTCTCTCCACTATGGTTTTTCTCATGCTTTCTAAGGGACAAAGTGTTCATGAAGGTTTTGTCACACATATTAAATTGACAGTGTTTCTCTGCTGTGATTTTCAGTTGAGTAGGTAAATTTGAATTCTGTTTGAAAATATTTCCTTGCTTTTCACATTTTGGTGGTGTTTTCTCTCTGGGAACAACTGACTTTGAGCTGAAATTTTGGCTGGATTCAGAATTTTTACGGCTTCTTTCTACAGTCATGACTTTTTTTTTTTGTGGGTGATTGAAACTATCTGAAAACTTTCCTTTTTATCTGGCTTCTTCTTGAATTTGTCTTCATATATACAAAGTTTTTCTGATTTCAAGTCCCAGGGTCCATTCCTTTTGAGGTTTTTCATTATCAGGTCCTGAAACGAAGAGTCTTGTGTTTGAGTTGACTTCATGGTTTTATGACTGCTCTTCCATGCGAGAGAGGGGCCTCCAGGGTTTTCTTTCTCAACCTTCCAGGGATCCTCTTCTTGCCAAGGAAGCCAGGTTCCTGCAGTTCTTCAGCATCACGTCCCGGTACAAGCTTCTCTGCAGAGCATCCAGCTTCCTCCGCTCCTCCTGAGTAAAGAACACAGCCAAATCCTCGAAGTTCACTGCCACCTGAGCCCTTGCTTCCTTCTGCTTATTAGCTATGTTCTCTTTCTGGACTCTTCCCCCTGGATGGCTGTGGTCTCCAGAAAGTAGCTCTTTCACCTGGAAACAGTCCGTGTTTCTGTCCCCTACAGTGATTCACAATTCCAGTCTCCAGCCCAGGGGTCCGCACTGTGCCTCACCCTGAGCCTGTGCTCCCTCTGAGCGCAGATTCCCTGATAACCCGAGGCCCATCCTGGTGCTCTTCCATGCCCAGTCAAGGATCTCGGCGGCGGTGGATGCGGTGGGCTGAAGTTCGTCTTTGGGCGCTCCCGGGATCCTGTCTGGGGACACCAGGACATGGAGAGGACCCAGCACAGAGACCAAGACCCGAGCTCCGGTCCCGGCTCTGCACGGAGCCAGCACCGCTTGTCAGGAAGCCTGACGCCGCCGCACGGCCCGACCGAGGCCCCGGGACAGCGCAGTCTCGGACTGCGGGCGAGCAGGTGACAGGCCGGGGCCGCCCGCGCCACAGAGGCCCCGCCGTCTCGCAGGCCTGCTCCCGTACTGGGTCTGGCCGGCCGCGGCTCACCTCCTGGCTCCGTCCGGGCCAAGCCTCGCCGGGACGCGCTCCGCAGCGGGGAGGAGCCGGCCTTCCCGCCCGTAGCAGACCGGCGTCGGGACCCCGCCTGCCCGGCGACCTCAGCCTGGAAGCTGCGCGCCCTGCGTCCGACTCTCCGCAGCGCTCTGAGGTTCTAAATCTATTTTCAATCTACTTTTACTGTATTTGATATTTCCACTTGGGAAATTATTCACTGGCTTACTATTTAGGAAGACGTATGATTTTTTTCTTAACCTTTCCCTCACCTACATATACAAATACATGTGTCTATCTCTTTCTCTTTCTTTGAGATCACAATTTCAGTTTATTACTCAGGGTTTTATATTACTGGGGAGTCTACTGGTTTTCTGTTGCTGCTACAGTAAATTACCATAAAGTAGTAGTTTCAGTCAACAAAAATTTGTTGTCTTACACTCTTTAGATCAAAATTCAAAAATTATTCCATTGAACCAAAGCCAAAGTGTTAGTAGGGCTGGTTCTGCCTGGAGCCTCTTGGAGAGTCTGTTGCTTTGCCTTTTGTAGCTTCTAAAGAGCACTCAGATCCCTTGGCTCATAGGCTCTTCCTCCACGTTCAGAACCCATGGAACATCATCTTCACGTGTCTCCCAGACTCTCTGACTTCTGCTCCTGTTG